TCCCTAATACCTTGAAGGTCAGAAGTAACGCACGACTCTTTTCTCTCCTCACGAGTTACAAGGCTTTTATCATCAAAAATTAAAATTTCAACCCCCGTTTCTCTTTGTTCCTTATTCAACCTCTCTTTACTTGTACTTCTTCAACCTTCTTTTTGTTACAAATTTTATCCTCTCTTTCTCTCTTCTTTCTTTTCATATTTGATAGAATTATGTGGCTGCTGTCATCTTGCCATTGTTTGATGATAAACCAGTGATAACCGAAATATTTCACGGCGGTTCGGTTCGGTTTTTGTTCAAGTATGGATCAAGTTCAGTGTAATAAAACATAGTCAAATCCGACGGAATTGGCCGTTTGCTCTTTCCTATTAAACCCCTCTCTTCAAGCAAAACACATAATTTTGGATCTTAAACATTGTTCATGCTATCATAAAGTTTTTGCTCTTTGCTCGCTGTTCAAGGCTTCAAACTAACGTAAAATTCTTAAACCTTAAAACACTGTTCTGTTGGCCTTCTTGTTTTAATGATGATTTAACAAACAATTTATGACTAATATTGGTTTTAGTATTTTGTTTTGTGTTGTTTAGTATACACAGGAAATTGAGCAACATTGATATTGAAGCATATGCAAATCAAGTCAATCAATCAAAGTTCAAGCTTCAGAAGATTCATTCTTGGTATACTTAGTATAGGATTATATAATGTGCGCAAATTCTACAAGCTCAAATATACACACACATTTCATTTGTGAATTTTCTCAAATATAGGTGTTTTTATACAAAATATGTTTTAATATGCTTTGGACTATACAAACATTATTAACATCTTTTATTATGTCCATAAAAACATTACACAAGTTTTTAAAATTTGATTTGAGCTAAATGTCAAAATCAACATGTTTAAAACATATGTATTTTTAGTGCTTTTGAATTTTTCTGAGATTTCACAAATGATAAGAGCAAATTGAAAAATTCTTTTTCCAACATGTTCATAATCCTGTTTATAAGCTTTTTCCAAAGTTTTACATTTTTTAGAATTTAGTTGCTATTTTTAAAAGGACTTTAAAATTCGTTTTCAAAAATCAATACAGGCTAAAAACCTGTTATCAGTCGACTGATGACATTTATCAGTCGACTGAAGAAATGTCCTGCAATTAGAGCTGAGCACGGTTCGGTTCGGGTTGGTTTTTGCTAAATTTTGAACAACTGAACCGAACCGCATATAATTCAAAACCGAACCGAACCGTTGCAAGTCGGTTCGGTGCGGTTCGGTTCGGTTTGTTCGGTTCTAAATCATCAATAGACATCTTGATCTCTCTGGAAATTAACTTGCTACTGGCAGTTGGGCCAATTCAATTTCATTCACAATAACAAAAACTGAACTGATACATACTGCCTCAGAATAACTAACTTGATCTATGTAACTATGTGAGAATTTGATAGTAAGCCTAGAAAGTATAACTGCTTATCAAGAAAGAAGATAGTATGCCTAAAAAGCAATTGTAACTACATGACATCAAGCTCATACCTTCAGTTCTTTAATAGTCTCTCCCAGCTTTTCATTTGTTTCCTTTAGCTGTTCTGCTTCAGTTTTCAACTACATCAGCAGGCGAGCGGCATCACCTAAAATACTTACTTTATCAGACCTTGGAGGCTTATCAGGATCGAGAACAGAACTCAATTGCGAGAACCTGTAAGTATTGGGAAAATGCTGCAAAAAATATATATATAAGAAAGGACTTGTGGTGGCTTTTGAATGTTCAATCAATTTCATACTAAACAACAAGTTTGAGCACAGAATTACAACCTGATACCCATTCCACGTGCAGTAAGTAGCAGCGGACTGAATCGTGATCCCCCTCTCCCTCTCCAAATCCATCGAATCCATCTTCGCCCCAACTCCATCTCTCACCCTCACCTTGTGGATCTCATGGACTCTGCCAGTGTAGAAGAGTATCCTCTTGGTGAGCGTCGTCTTCCCCGAGTCGATGTAGACGAGATCCCGATGTTTCTCATCTTCTCCATCGCCTCCTTCCACCATGCCTCCTTCTCCTCCTTTGTTCGCGCGACGGGGGAGTATGATTGGCTGCCGGCTAACACGCTGGTGAGCCACACGAGCGAGGCCAGCCTAGGGTTAGGTGGCGAGGGTTAGGGATCTGGCGAGCGAGAGGCTGCGGAGGGAGTCGGGGAGATGAGGGTTAGGGTTGGGCTTGGGGATCTGAACATTGGTGGAGGTGGCGGCAGGGAGAAGATCGCGAGAGAGAGAGCAAGACGAGATTTAGGGTTGGGAATCAGGGAATGAATGAGAACGGGGATTTTATAGAAGTCGGGTATTGGGTATCGGGTATGGGTTACGGTGGGGTGTGAGTTCGGTCGGGTCGGTTTTACTCGGGTTGAATGTTTCTGAACCCGACCCGAACCGATGGCTCATCAAAACCGCACCGAACCGTGAAAAATCGATCGGTTCGGTCGGTTTGGACCGAACTTTGCTCACCCCTACCTACAATCTTTAAAAGTTTCTGTTTTTTTTTGTCGACTGATAAGCTGTCGTTTGCCTATAATAGTCAGCTCATTAGTCGACTGACGCAACCCGTCAGTCGACTGACGCAACCCGTCAGTCGACTGATAAGCCCCAACGGCTATTTTTTTAGTCTTTTACAGTTTTATCTTTTTGCTGGATTTTCTTGGGTTTTAAGCTTTGGTTTTTCATCCTATATATACTCCTCACTATTTCAGTTCTGCATAAGAAAAAAAATAGAGGTTTTAACAAGAGTTTCTAAGTGCTTAAAGTTTGTTTAAGTTTTTAAGTTTGAGTTTACAAAGAGGAGGCTTGCATCGGACGAAGAATCTACGGGGAAAACAATCGAATACACCTATGGACGTCTCGGAGTTCCGAAACACCCCCAGGGGTGTCTCAGAAATTCCGAGACACCCCAGGGGTGTCTCGGAATTTCCGAGACACCCTAGGGGTGTCTCGGATTCTTGGAGACACCCCAAGGGTGTCTCAGATCTGTGGAGACACCCCAGGGGTGTCTCGGATTCGTGGAGACGCCCCAAGCCCCCATTTGCCTACAAATAGACCCCATTTACCTCATTTGGAAGGATCTGGATTTTTGGAGAGCCTTGGCGAAGCCCTGCTACAGCAAAGAGTGATCGTGCGCTTCAACCGAGGAGGAGAGGTCTACATCAGCCTTCATCACCCGTTCTCATCTGATCCTTAGTATTAGCCTTTAGCGTTAATACTAAGAAGAGCTAATACCTCGCTTTAGCCGAGGTATACGCTTATAGCTTCTAGATCTCACGCGGATCGACGAAGCTCTGTCCGATATTTCTGGATCAGAAGTTTCTAGATCTCACGCGGATCAACAAAACTCTGTCCGATTTATCCGGAACGGATCTGATTGCCCCGGTGGTCCACGGATATCAACATCCCCGTCACAGGCAAAAGACCCACGCAAGCAAGAGATGACAAACAGCTCTTGCGTTTGTTTGAAAGGAGTTGCATTTATTTTGTTTTCATTGTGTACCGGTCTTATAAAAAGGCTATCTTTATGAATAAAATATAATAACCATATGTGTGACGAGGGAAGAGTTTTTCTCCCACTTGACAACATTCAAAAAGGGAGAAAAACAATAGGGAGCACGCTCCCCCTGCATATAAAGTCAATAAAAAATAAAACCAAGTGTATGCAAAGCTCACCTGTTAATTGATATAAATGACATCTAAAGAACATATATAGGACGAATAAACAAATAAATTATTTTCAAAGAGCGCCATAAACAATATTAAACATAAGATCAATAATAGCAACATATTTTCCACAACAGCATGAAATTGTTTCACATGCATAGTTCTAGAAGGATAAACCTACACAATAAATCACAAAATAGTTCACTTAGCATCAGAATACATAGTTTTTCCACAGATATATTTTGTTCCACAGACTGCAAGCCATACTAAAATCAATAGTTCACACAAATATAGCAGTTATTCACTCAAACATAGTTCAAGTTCTAGCAACTCAAATGGACCATCACATAAGATAGAATCAATAAAAACTCTAATAAGCAGACAAAATCAATCACACTGTCACCATCTAATCATTCATCACCATCACATACCATCACAATCCATCAGAAGAGCAGAGCCTTATCAGCAGGGCTCCATCAGATCAGACTCAGAATGGAAGAGGATCCGAGAATCCGACAAGACTGACACTGATAGGACTGAACTGGTGTAGACATCCTCTGGATAGTTGAGACTTGTTCTGAACACTTAAGAACTGAGTTCAGACGATCCGCCGGTCACAAAGATCAGAATTGCGAATGAGAGAAGCTCAGCCTGGGAACGAGAAGATGATGAGAATAGGCTCAGGATAAGGAACTCGGAAATATGCATCCGAGGATGCAGACCTTATCAAAGAAGTTTGATTAGATTCATTTTAGGGTTACATGGGTGGGATCACACGAAATGTTGTAAGGATAAGGTGAGAAGGACGCAAAGGGTAGATTTGAAATGCTTCGAGTGCCATGTGTTTGAGAAAAAATGTATTGCATTATTTTATTTTGCAAATATTGGCATATACAGCTAATTATTTGTAGAAGTAAAGAATCGAAACTACAGTTTTTAGGAATCGAAAATTGAGCAATAATTCTAGGCAAATGGTTGGATTTGAATATAAGAAATATTGTTCATTGGATAATGTGGCAACGGGCTAAACATGAGGTCTAGTCGCTGGGAATCATCAAGTTCAATAGACATAATGCAATCCCTGTTGGATTTTGGAGAATACTTCGCAAGTTCGTTGACAGTAAAAGAAATTTGAACTTTAACAGGATTGTCTATGGTCTAAGACCATCGTCGAGAGGATGATTGACAACAAGTTGGCATAGATTAATAACCAAAAAAGGAAATAGGAACTTTGTTATTTAAACCTAGCCAATTCAACTTATAAGAGATGGTATGAGTTATACATAGCCGAATTGTTCCAATTTGATACTATCTTGGTTGAATTTTAGTATTTGCACATTCCCGATATTTCTCTAACTAATGGGATCTTATACACAGGAAAATCTTATAATGAGACTTTGTAGAGGATGGACTTAGATAGTAACACTATGGTGTGAGAAGAAATCTGGACAGAATTATTTAAAAGCCCTGGAAATGAAATAATTAGGCAACAAAATAAGTAAACGTCCTAAAACACAAACCTAGATGGAATTAACACTAGATCATAAATTGAAATCAGAGATGAGAAAGAGATTAGTACCCGAGCAACACCAATGAAATCGACTTGGAGAAGTAGCCGACAAGAGATCGGTCGATTTGAAGCAGGCAGACGAGAGAAACGCTAGATTTGGGAAAAAAAAAATTCGAAATGGGGAAAGATGTGGAGTCGCGCGTCTTAGAAGAGATGAGAGGGGCTAGGATCAGACTTAGTCGCTGATTCAATGGTGGTGGAAGGATATTCGGGCCGGTTCAAAGAAGTTATCCATTAAAAAAACAAAACCCGATAAAAACAGAAATTGAAGGCTGAAATCTCTTGCGGATCGACGAGCGGTCGACCGAAAAATTAAGAGACTTCGTCGCGGTCGAGCGGTCGGTCGAGCGCGAAATAATAAAGGCCACAGGCAATGTAAAAAATTGCGATTTTGAGAAATTGTTCATTTAGACTTTAAGAAATTGTTTTATAATATACCAATGGGGCTTTATAATATATATAAGTTTGCCTATAAAATATACAAATAATTATTTTAGCTAAACAAAAGAAAGATTTATATTCAAAACCAAAAGCAAAAAAAAAAAATGAACAAAACAACGAAAAAATTATTATAAAAATCATTTTCGGTTACACTAGACTTGTGGGACATGGGAAATACCCCTATCATTTAATCAAGGCCCTTAGGGTTATGAACCGCTTGGGCACTGTTTTGAATGCCGATCATGCATCAAAGCAAAATTATAACATGCTATTACGATGCAGATTTGTGAATATAGAGGTTTGAATGGTGTACGTTGACCAAATGGGAATGCCGGGTGGTTCATTTAGTAAAATAGATTTTTCTTTGTAATTATTTTGCCAACGAGAATTCTTTTTTTAAGTCAAAACAAACATGGCCAAATGACCAAAAACAACCACAAATAAGTCAGCAATTTATACACATGAGCATGTTTATGATGTTACACTATTGTGTGTGTAACTTGTATGTAATGCATGAAGTTGATGGAGATGCACATATCAGTGAATAGGGCTTGTCAATTTTTTGTTATTATGGACAAATTGAGCTAAGATCGACTTAAGACGCAATAGATATGTTAATTTTGTCATACATATGTGCATAGTGATAGGTATTCTTGAAGAATTACATTGAACTTTGATAGTAGTCCATAAGCTTTTTATGTCTTAGCAATACAAGTGTTTGTGTTGAATCTAAGGTGGAGTATATGTTTTCTCATTTGATCAGTTCAAACTAATATAATTGTGCATGACAATCATTGCTGTACTAGAAGTAGGATAAAAGTTACCTCAGTCATTAGATTTTAAAGATTAATTGCTAACTTCTAGACTATAGATCACGTTTTTCATGAAGCAACCTAGCATTTCCTTTTCAAATTTTCATTGCACTTCTTTTAAGAATTATTATTTTTATTTGCAATTAAAATTAAACTTAGGTGGCTAGAGTTTCGAGATGATTATATTTACATTAGTTACTCTTTAAATCAAATATGGGTAATGTGAATTTTCAATCAGAAGCATGTTCATTACAAAGTATAATATCATCGTTATCAGATCGCATCCTCTAGGGTTATCACCTAGGGGAATTGTACATGGAGGTGAGGCTTCTGTTAAATTCAAAGTGGGATTTTCAACGCGGTTGCTTGAATAGCCTCAATGTCTCTGTCATGTGCTTCAATAAATTTCCATAATGCGTAAGCACTATCAAAATTAAGCAAATATTAGAAAAAAGAGTGAAAGCATTAATCAAATATCTAAAAAAGCTTGTTATGAATAACAATCTTTATTCATTTCACACCCATTTGGTATTTTCTATAAATGAGTACAACAAATCATCCTCAATAATTCCCACATTCGAACGTTGGTTTAGAAAGTTGACAAATGTTTGAGTT